GGGAGAGGTGGAACAGATTGCGTTAATGAAGCCAAAGGCTCAGACAGAACATGATGAAGGAATGCTGGAATTTCTAGAGGATATTATTGGCTCCAGTCAATTTAAGGACACTATCGAAGAACGCAGTAAGAATGTCGACGACATGAATGAAGCCAGAAGTGAAAAAGTATATTACTAATAATTCGGTTATATTTATTTCAACCCATGTCCCTTACAAAATCAATTCAACAGTTAAATTTAATTAAACTTTTCCCACTTTTAACTAATCCTATTACTCATAATTACGGCTAGTTGAACCGTGTGAAAGCAGTTGAGAAAGAAAAAGATGACTTGGAAGGTATTAAGAATGAAGCCTGCGAATATATAGATATGGAAAATAATAAAACGAAATTGAAGCATAAACTGCTGCAGAAATATGTGTAAGGAAATCAGTATTTTTGAACCTACACGCATACAGTATCAGTATCTAACGTTTAAGGCGAATTTAGAGCACCCCTTAGCTAATAAGTTCTTAACGTCAAGTGCTATATTCTTAAAGCTACGAAGTTACCGAAAAGAATACCGAAGGCCTTGAAAAACGTGATGCAGTTATGAATCAGTTGCAGGGCCTGCAAGAGAGTATCACTCAAAATCGAGGTCTGTTTGTAATGTTGCATTATATAACATTATCCAATACTTATTTATACAGAGCTGTAACTCGCATGTCTATTCAATTCATATTACAGAAAAGACCAGAGCTGCTGAAAAAGAGCTAAAAAAGAAAAGAAAGTAAGCTGGACCTGATTGATGCCTATTTCTGCACTTACTAAATATAAAGTTGACATTGGATAAAATTAAACAATTTATAATAGATAAACAATCGACGTTATGCAAGTTAGATATGCATACGTAAGAGTGTTCATACGTATTCGTTGTTATCGGTAGACATTTTGATCAAGTCGTTGCGGAACTAGAAAAGTGCAAAAATCAGTATTCCGAATTAGAACGGCTTGATGTAAAGTTACGAGAGGTGAACATTTTTCAACCATGATATACTTTGTGCAGTAACCGTAGCCGCGTAGATTTATTTTTATGTTAACAAATGGCGACACTTTATTAGGATCTTAAGCATTCAAAATCCAAAGATAAAAAGTTCGAGAAAGCCTTACAAAAAGAAAAGCAAAAGGTTGCTATTTTGAATTTGGATTAAAAAAATCATTTAGTTAATATATGCTTTAAATGTTTTATACTAAATTATCTCTAATTTCTATTACCATACCATAATCATACTACATTAGCTGGAAGAGTTATTAAAAGTCCCCGATAAATGCCAGAAAGAAATTCAAAGTTCTGAAGAAGCGATTGCTGGTCTTGAGGTAATGAATCACGTACTAAATTGTAATATCCCCTAGAGGTAATTACATATATAAATGGATTACTAAGGAAGATTACTATCTATATCTTGGATAGACTAAACGTAAGGTAGAAGAAGAAAATCTGCAAGTTATCATTGAAGGTACAATAATTATGCACTGCACCATATTTAAACCTATCGTATACGCGTTATACATAAAATTTCATTTCACTGAAATCTACTCTAACATACTAGGACTTAAAAGTGAAACTCAGGATCTTCAAGTTGAAAAAGAGGTAATGCAATTAATTTTCCACATTATTGAGTCTAATTAAACTTACTCATTCGAATTATACGTAACATTAGTAATAGACCACCAATTTTTTATTGGCTCTAGGGGAAAGAGAAGGAATTATTGGAACTCAATAAAATTGTATATGAAGCAAAATCTAATGTAAGATTAGTTCTTATCATAAAGCAAGACGTGAAGTAAGCTTTCTAATTCAATCAGATTTTAATATATTACGTTACTATGATTAGATGGATGTAGCTCAGAGCGAATTAGATATATTTCTAAGCGCTAAGAAGCAAACAGAAAACAACTTAAAACAAATCAAGGAAAATTACGAAAATACAATCAAAGACATTGCTGCAAGAAAAAAGTAATCAATAAAACCTGATACTGTAATGAAATATTAAATACTGGCTTTTGAATTAAGAGTCAGTTGGATTAAAATTATTTATAAAACTTAGGGATATTAAAGAAATGGAAAAATGTATCCCCAATAAGAAGGAAAAATTGAATAGTGTAAGACAAAAACTTAAAGAAACCGAAAATAATGAAATTGACACTAAAAACAACGTAAGTAAACTTTTACAATGATTCATTATACATATACCCTAAAGGTTGCTATTTTTCGCAATTTTTAAATGATGTTCGTTGTGAAGAATTTTGGACAATGTTATATGTTCTGACGTCTAATTTCATACGAATTACTCTTTTTCGATAATCCTCAGCTTCGCAGTAGCAGAAGTAAACTTGAAGAAATGAGAGGCTCTATGCAAGCGTCTAAAAGCAGGTCTGTATCGAAATTTTTACTTCTGCATATCTCAACTGGCCTCAAATTTATAAAGGTACATCTTTAACATTAGAGAATTCAAATAATATCGTCATTTTAGGAATGAAGTTCTTACCGCCCTTTTGAAAGAGAAGAAAGAAGGGCGTATAAATGGAATTTATGGAAGATTGGTAAGATGTGTTGTAAAATACAAATGAATTCTTTTGTAATTAATTGAATGTATGTACAACATTCGAGCATTTAATCTATATTTAAATCAAGGGTGATTTGGGCAGCATAAACCAAAAGTATGATGTAGCAATAAGTACTGCTTGCGGAGCTCTAGATCATGTTGTTGTCGATACCTTGGAAACTGCTCAAGCGTGTATTAAACTATTAAAAGAAAAACGTATCGGCCTGGTAACACTCTTGGCTTTAGACAAGGTGATTAGCTACTAGATTTTGTTATTTATTCCTGTAAAATTAACAATGTACTAATACAATTTATAATGAATTCTCTAGATTGAGAAACTACGTCCAGCCGCTTCCAGTAAAATTTCAACGTAAGTTTAGCATTTTAAGTTACGTCCTTATTAGGCTTCCAATATTAATGCAAATGTTTTTAATCATGTTTAGGCCAGAAAATGTTCCTCGCCTATTCGATTTAGTGAACATTTCGGACAAAAAATTCTTAACTGCATTTTACTTTGCCCTACGTGATACTTTAGTTGCCGATGACTTAGACCAAGCAACTAGAATAGCTTTCAAGGTAAATAATTAATTTAAGCGGGATTTAAATTTACGTTTTAACTAATTTCTCACAAACCTTCATCTAGGGTAATAAGCGACAACGCGTAGTAACGTTAGCTGGCCACCTCATTGATCAGTCAGGTTGGTTGGCTGATAGCTATTATTACTCCGTTTAATTTTGAGCTACACTGTCGTTATTGTCGAATAAATTCGCTTACATTTCATATAACCTATACGCATCGTAGGAACTATGTCCGGTGGAGGTAATCGTGTTATTAAAGGCAGGATGTCATCTAAGCTACATGAAGAAGTATCTCCACAAGATCTAAAAAAGCTAGAAAATGACCATAACAGCTGGATCAGTATTAGCGAGGTCCATTTTACGATTGTAGCTTCAGTCAATTTATGAACGGTTGATTGTAATATTTATAGATTAAACTAAAATTTTATCTTACATCATAGAAATTGCAACGTGACAGGAAAGAACTTGAAGAAACGGAAAAAGCAGTTACCACAGAAATATCTACTTTAGAATATGAATATGAAAAATGTAAAATGGAAGTCAAGGTAATATCCGCTACTCGTATTAAAGTCTGTTAGTCTGGTATCAAATTATCAATCTAGTTATCGTTAAATAAACTTTCTCAACTTTTCCTATTTTAGTCTTTAAGCGAGCAACAGACTACAATGTCTGAACAACTAAAGCAACTAGAAGCAAAATTAGCTCAGCATCGTACCAAAGACGATTCTAAACGTCAAGGTCAACTTGAATCGGCCCTTCGAGAGAAAAAAGCCGGTATGTTTGTAGTGACTGACTAGCCGTCACTTGGCGGCAATATTGTAAACATATGTAACCATTTTTTTACAAATAAAATCAATTAATATGCCATTAACTATAATATTAAAGAATATGAAAAGCTAGAGAAACGTTCCTCAAAAGTGGAAGAAATTGTCAAACGCTTGCATACTCAAATTATGGAGATAGGTGGTACTAAACTGAAAGTACAGCAGGTTGGTTATTTTCGTATGCATACTACAGTATTTAGCACTTAGTTTCGGTTAAGCACTATGATTATCGGCAATAAGTCATATCATACTTATGTTAATGTCGTTATTACAGGAACGACTGGATAAAGTCGTCAATCAGATTGATCAAGCAAATGCTACCATTACGAAATCCAAAGTTGCAATTAAAACAAATGATAAGTATGTAAGAAAGTTACATATCTAAATTTATCCTGATGGGCCCTATCTAAGTGTAATCTTGATGGTCAAAAATTTAGAAATTTAAATAAATGTCGTGAAGCCATTAACAAAATGGAAAAAGAATTAACAGAGAATACTAATCACGTGAAAGATGTTATGGCTCAACTGGAAAAGTTAGAAGATGATGCGGTTCAAAATAACAATCGTTTTAATGAGCTAGATTTACAACGCCAGGAAAAAGTTAAGGAATTGGATACTTTAACTGACGGAGCAAAAATCATAAACGACGAAGAGAATGAATCAAAGAACAAAGAAATCGAATTAAAACATGAGCTGGAGAAATTAAATGGCGAATTGAAAGAAGCCCAGCAAAAAATTAAAAGCTGTAAGAAACAGGTAAGCAATAAATTCGTAGTACCCAGATATTAGATCGCAGTTTAGCTTAAACTTTATCAGCGATTACTTAGATTATTACGACCATCTTTTTTTTCGTATAGCTGGAAAGTATGAAACTTAACCGTGTTGTCAAGGGTGAAGTAGTTGACGATGATACTCAAGATATTCTCCCAGAAATTAGTATTGACGAATTAAAAGGCTTAGATACCGTAAATTTACAATACCAGATTACAGTCTTAGAAGAAAGATTACAAGAAATGAAACCTAACATGGCTGCAATAACCGAATATTTTAGAAAAGTAATGTCTCATTGATTCGTAGCGTTTGAATTAGCTTCTGTAAAGGAAGCAGCTCCATTATGGGCAACACCTAAATCCATTTTATTGAATTTATATCACAGGAAGAAGTTTACTTGACACGCGTTTCAGAACTTGACGAAATAACTGAACAACGTAATGAGCGTCGCCGAGAACTAGATCAATTGAAGAAAGAAAGACTGGATATGTTTATGCACGGCTTTGAGATAATAAGCAGCAAATTAAAAGAAATGTACCAAATGTTGACTTTGGGAGGTGACGCGGATTTAGAACTTGTAGACAGTTTGGATCCTTTCAGCGAAGGTATTGCATTTAGCGTACGGCCGCCAAAGAAAAGCTGGAAGAATATATCCAATCTTTCTGGTGGTGAAAAAACTCTCAGTTCACTTGCTTTGGTACGATACAATAAATTGTTTATGAGTAAACATTCTTACTGTAGTTATAGATCTGAAGTATCAGCTTTACATACGCTACACTACCTGTGAATGTCTTAATTGCTGAAATTTAAAATTGTTGTTAAAATATGTATTCTTTTTTGCATAATTTACATAGGTTTTTGCTCTGCATCATTTTAAACCCAGCCCTCTATATGTAATGGATGAGATTGATGCAGCCCTAGACTTCAAAAATGTTTCAATTGTTGCCAATTATATTAAAGTAAGGCTATTGTTTTCATGTGTCTCTACTGTACATCTGAACCTCTAATAGTTTTATTTTATTTTATTTTACTTACAACTAGGAGAGAACGAAAAATGCACAATTCATTATTATAAGTTTAAGAAACAATATGTTTGAATTAGCTGATCGATTAATTGGAATTTACAAGACAGATAATGCGACGAAAACCGTGGTGATTGATCCACGAAAAATTGCTGCTGCCTAAATTCTACGAAATTCGTACAAATGTATCAACATTTCGTGTATATATCTAAGTTCATTTAATTTGTGATAACTTTTTGTAGATAGTTTCTAAAAAGTAGCGATGTATAAAAGAATAATTTGTAGACATTCTAACAATTCATAAAGTGATTAATTTAGCTTACTAGACATATCAGCAGAGTACAGTAGTGATTTATGTATTGGGCAATTTTGGGTTAATTACCGTAATTAATGCTTCCTGGTCGAAATAGGTACTAGACTGAATTTTTAATATTGAATTGTGAGACTTTTGTAAGTAAATTATCACCCACCCCTAACCATGATCTCATGATTAAGAAAATGAAACCAATTGAGATTTCGTAAAGAACGCGCATGTTTCAAAGTAAATACGATATCATAAACTGCAGCAGCATATGCTTAAGGGTATACGTAATACTGTAATACTATCAAATTTATCGTGGATTTATACTGTTCGCCATATTTTAATAATATGAAATAAACTAGCGCCAAATACTGATATATTAAATATGTATTTGAAACGTGAGCTGGCCGAGCGAGTTCGGGTGCGGGAACCATTGAAGAACTGCTATATCGGTGTTATATATTAAGTAAAAGTATTAACCGTAAATTTCGACTATTTTGACATTTGTCGTCATTCTTTCTACTCCAAGCGTCATTCGAATTTTCTGTTACCAGTAGTACAGAATCGTTATGTTATCACTATTTCAACATCCATGAAGTGCCGCGTTACTGGTATATAGTCCAGTGTACACTGACATCTATTTTAGCTACATTCGTTCGTGTACCATCGAAAGACTTACATCTTGAAAATGCAACATGCGAAAATACTTGCTTTCTTGAATTTAAACCTACCTACTCTATCGAACATTTGCCATTGTGATTTATTAATCGTCAAGCAAACGCAAGTCTGACCGGCGGTAACTGATACCGTTGCAATTTAAATGATCGATAACTATCTGAAGGTAATGTTCTTTTAAATTACTTATACGCTTGTTGTAGTGAATTAATACAATATCAATAATGAGGATTACGTTATTTTATTTCAAAGAGCAATACCGTGTCTAAATTGGTGTACCTAATTAATTTATTTTAGCATTGTTTTTAATTAATACGCTTCATTATCAGATATTATCTACTAAGCAAATAACTCACAGTAGTTAAAACTATTTAAAAACTGATATCAACCATACAATCTTCTTTAATTTACTATAAATTTATCTTTTGCAAAATGGATAAGCAGAGCAAATTACAATACCGTATGTTTAGTTTACATCTAAATAGAAGCGAAGAACATTCCAAGAATATAATTTATACAGTTCATCATTTATGAATGTAAACCATCCATTTACCACCGTATTACATTTAAACTATAAATAAATTTGTATAAGAAAAGTAGCACTACAGTACGGGCTTCAAATATTACAGTAGAAGTTCCTATGATATCAGATACTATACTGTATATACCATCATTTTAAAGTTTGTATGCTAGGATACGCCACTGAATTCATAGCTAGCTATTGATCTAATAAATTTTAACTAAGTGGACAATTTTTAAAGCTAAAAATTATAATTATTAGTACATGCATACATCGCGATATAACAATATCCAAATTTGAACATTGAAAAAATCATAATACCGACAGTAGCATAGAGACTCGAATCAATGCAAAATAAGTAGTATAACTGTATTAGAATAATCGTAAGTCATAACTTTGTCAGTTACCATACAGTGCGTTTATTGCCTTTACAGGTACGATAAAAGTCAAAACTAATTTAAGATGGCAATCCGAGCTCTTCTAGTGCACTTCGTGTTTCATTTTCCTACGTGAATGATATAGAACGTGGAGTGAGGTAAAGACTACAGGCAATTATAACTACAGCTATGATAATTTAAGTAGATGTGTGAGCAATATTATTGCGATTTCATTACTTCTTGAAGCATGTCCTGCGCTGAAACAGCTTTTAAGACATTTTTTTTACTGGTTTCCTGAATATCGCCACCAATTAATAGTTCGTCTAATATGAAATATGCCTAATCGAATTCAAAAAGCGATTAAAATATGTTAAAATCAGATCCATAAAGTTATTTTTCGGTTAGATTGTTTATCATGAAACCAGCCTAGCATAGTGCTGGATTTAGTATCATACTGGTGATATCAATCTATTTCGATATAATTAATGCTACATTACCTTTTCAAAGTTAAAAATAATATCTAATTCGCACACCTATGATATAAAATTTAAGTATAAAATGGAAAAGAACATTAGGGCGAGCACTTGCGCATATCATGTAGGAAGAAATATATTTCAAAGTTATTGGTGAAACTTGTCCAATAGCGTATAACATGGTAATCTGCCTTATACCATCTACTGCACTCTAATGTGCAGGCACCATATAATTAAGTTGATAAACGACACTGTAGTGATTTTATAGTACTGTATATTATATGAGAAATTCAGCGGTGTTTCAGAAAGATACTCCAGTCCTTTATAGAATAAGTAAGTAAAATGTACTTACGCTGCCAAAGTACTTATCCAAGAGTTCTACGTAACGATGAATGAGCTCTAAGGTTAGCAGTTCATTATCATTTTCTTCGATAGCACAGCAAAAATAAAGGCTAGCATAACTACGCCAAAAGTACAAAATGAAAATATAATCAAAATGATGTCCATATTCAGCGATAGCAGCCTTCTAAAATGTTGAACCATCAATAAGGAATGTCGACTAGCATATGAATTATGCCGACTGTACAGTATATGACTTTATTGCATGTATAACATTGGCGCGTAATTGCATATCGATTTCTATGTCATATAGACTGTATTGTAGTAGAAATCGATTAGTCATAGCACAACATGATCGGAAGATCATGATGACTATATATATTCGTTCATTTCGATCATTGAAGAAATGACGACATCCAAAACGATCGTTTGTCATGATTGGTAAATATAGGCGTAATGAAGTCACATATTGACGATTACAACTATAGCAATCGATATCTTGACCACTAATTGAACGATCAAAGTAGTCACAATCATATAAACTTATTTTCAACATAATTTGAGGTATATTTTAAAAGTAGTAATTGTATTTTACTAGTAAAATCGACAGGAGTAAATGATACTAATGGATTTTTTTTACAAATTGCATTGAAAGTCTTTTCCGAACTTTACAACACGAAAGAAGTCATCCTAACCCATGGTATATCTACTTGCTAATAACTAACGACCAATCACTCACGTGCAACTCATCTACCTACCGCTTATAAACAACTTTTAAATCTTTCCATTCCAAAAAGTTACACATTTTGGGTTTACGAGCTAATATAGCGGTAATCAATTCACGAGCAGTCCTTTTCTTCTCTTTCAGCGTGGATGCATTGAACCACTTTTGCAAGCGTAACTTACCTTGCCGGCTAAATAATAATACAAATTGGACCTACAAACAGAGAGACAAGTTTCAATTACTCTTATGGAATACGATGTCAGCATTCAACTGCTCACTACTGGTCAATCGCCATATTTTTTGCAAACTACTCTCTCTCCAACTCACCATCTTGTCTTCTTCTAGTGCGCGACACTGACCACTGAACAGGCTTCGATGGATACACTGGATCACCTATACTGTACAGTACTGTCTCCGACTTTACTGTACTGTTTTGTACAGTACGCTACGTGTGAAAATCGAATCTACAGCAACTGTACCAACGTCGCCAACGACTCACTGCTTGCTATACCTACAGTATACAGTAGGTGAAAAGTCCAGTTCCTTGTCTGTCCGTGTTATGATACAAGTGCAATACAGCGGGGACTTCTCAATGATAAATTTGGTACCACCACGGTACAGCAGTTCTGTCTGTCTGACCTGCGGTGCCATGCTAGACGGAGCCATTTCACATTTAAAGACGCAGTACCACAAGCAGCGAGACTGCTTATTATAACCGTCATCAAATCATTTCGCTTTGATTTAAATGGCTAGTTCTAGATTACAATCTGTAGAGTTTATGGAAGAATGAGAACGGGGACAAAACAAGCTAGCTTGGGAGTTGAGGTAGTCTGTACTGTAGGTATTTTTGCGTTGCAGATTGTAAGATAGGACAGGATGCTGTCCGACCTGCCCTACCCGATGTTTTAGCATTTCGACTCAGCTCCTTGTACTTGTACTTACGCTTTACTATACGAATACAGACATCTAACGCAAAATACTTTTCTAGTCTCTCCTACAATGGAGTAGAGAGACTACGTATACCCTCGTTGTTCGATTACAAATTATATTATAGTACATAGTAAATAACGTCTAACGCAGACAGGATGGTACAAAAATTACCAAATTGCAGATGATTTTCAACAGCGGGGCTGTTCAGTGTTGACACATACGTTTCTGAAAATCGGAGTACTGTATTCGTTCCTTAACTTGCGATCAATCCATTCTCTGATATGGTATTATACTGTAAGTCGACATTGTAGTGTTTACTCATAATTGATAGAGATTTTAGACCCTTTCTCAATCTAGTATGCGAATGCTAGCTCCAAGTTGCTTAAACTTTTCCTAAACTTACATTTCATTCGTAACTTCAACAAGTAATCATATAACTCGATGAATTAATAGGTAAGACTTGGTAGTTTATTATTTCCAGTTGACATTAAAAACAAAAATTGATCAGAAGCACATCAAATATCGAATCGATAAAGGCAGCTGTGTCATCTAAGCTTTCATCGGTTAAATACCGCGCACTTTTAACGCCTTGACCATAAACGCATCCTTACTATTCTGATCTTAAAGAGATTAAAGTACCATACTACTATTCTTCAAGAGGTCATAAAAACTACTACCATAGAGTGGCATCATAACAACAACAGATTACATTGTGTTATAATAAAAATTTTAATCGCCGTTTGTATATAAGCGCATAACTTTTCAACATAGTAGTTTGGATGTTGTTACAGCAAAGATAACATTATCGGCTAATAATTATAATAGTAAGTATTAAAGAACCATATTGGTTTGTACTGTAAATTAAAGTATTCCAATGATACATGGCACTAAGTCAAATTTATCGAATTTACCGATTGTATAGAACCGACAAATTTTGACCATCAATCATTGGTGGTAGTATAATGCAAATATTGATTGATGGCTTTTTATTATATGTTAACATTCTCACTAATGTCAGACTACTAAAGTCAAAAAAAGGACGAGCTAAAAAATCTATATACTGTACCGTAATTTCTTTATAGCAGCCACGTTCAAACAACTCGTAGTGTAATAGCTTAAACGTTATTAAGAAAGTATTATACTACTCTTCTTAACGTGAAATTCAAATATTAACCTGTGCATTTAATTTGGTAGCATTGTTAATACAAATTCTACCAACATCTCTTGCTCCTTACTTCATGGCTTAACACATTATCACGATTTATGACTTTTTAAATCAAATCAGCAACATTCATAGGCATTTCTTCGATTTGCGTATTATAGTACTGTTCGATGTCTTTCAGCAATCTTACATCATCGTTCGTCAGAAAATTAATGGCTACGCCCTTACGGCCAAAACGGCCACTTCGGCCAATTCTGTCGATTACAGGTACAACGTAGTTACATTAAGTTTAGTGTAGGTTCGATATTATCATTATCAGTGTACAACGTTCCATAAACTTATTCACTGCACACGTCTACGTATCAATAAAATTGCATTCATTAAACCATAGCTTACCTGTGAATGTAATTTTCACGATTAGTAGGAATATCGTAGTTAATAACCAATGATACCTGCTGTACATCGATTCCTCGAGCCTAGATAGATGAATACAAGAAGTACTTGTAATTTAAATAATTATCTACTTCATACAGTACAGTACATTTAGATACTTACCAATAAATCGGTAGTTATAAGAACGCGACTGGAGCCAGATCGAAATTCACGCATGATGACATCACGCTCTTTTTGGTCCATATCGCCATGCTAAGCACAGAAATGAGATATAGTACTGTTAGATTATGGAGAAGTCAACAATCGAATAAAAATGTTGTAATCATAATATTACATTAAGTTTATTTTTCATACCATAGCTGAGACTGTGAAATCTCTTTCGTGTAATCTTTGAGTAAGCCATTCCACCTTGCGTCTTGTATTTACGAAGATTACAGCTTGAGTAATAGTTAACGTTTCGTATAGATCACATAACGTTTCCAATTTCCATTCCTAGCCAGTATGATCAAAATAATTAATCCTCCTGCCATAACTGTGACGGTCTAAAACTGCAATAATTGAATTACCTCAAGTTCCACAGCAACGTAAAATTGTTTGATACCTTCCAAAGTAAGTTCTTCCTTTTGAACCAAAATTTTGATTGGGTCTCTCATGAATTTAGTTGTGACTTCCATGACGTCATCAGGTATAGTAGCTGACAATAGTACAACTTGAATATCGGGTGGTAATTGTTGGAAAATATCGTAAATTTGATCCTTGAATCCACGAGACAACATTTCATCGGCTTCGTCCAAGACAAATACTTTAATGTTTCTAACCTCTATGAAATACATCATTTAAAGCGACAATTACAACATTGTTGAATAAATATCTTGACCAAAAAAATTGTGCTTGTATCCTCAAATGCATAAAATATAGACGTCAATTTCTTTTCATTGCTAACCTAACGCTCTTCGATTGATCATATCGATTACGCGACCGGGGGTTCCAACGACAATATCGACGCCTTGTTCAAGTCTTCTAATATCTTCGCGTACATTAGTACCGCCAATACAAGCATGACATTGAGCTTGTAGAAAATCACCTAAGGCAATCACCACTTTCTGGATCTATTGATGCAGAAAAATATATAGCAGCTATTATTAAATAATTTAACTCATGATAAGTTCGGTATCTCTTGACCTTGCGTAATAACGGTCTCATAATATCACTTTGATAATACACATTGTTTAAAAAACAATTAGGCTAATATACCTGCTGAGCTAATTCCCTAGTTGGTGCCAAAATTAAGGCCTGGCATTGATGGAGTGAAATATCTATTTTCTGAAGAATAGATATAGCAAATGTAGCCGTTTTGCCAGTACCTGATTGCGCCTGAGCAATTACATCATGACCTTCAATGCAGGGAATAATTGCCCTTTGTTGGATAGCGGACGGTTTCTCAAAACTTCAATTTCATTGCAAGAGGCAAATAATGTTAGCGGTTGAACACCAAAATATAAAAGCGAAATACTATTTCATCAAAATTCAATTAACATACCCATAAGCATAAATACCACGTAGCAATGGGTCTTTCAATCCCATAGAGTCAAAGCTATCTACTACTTTATCCCAATTAGTCTGTAATTTAAAGCATACAAGAAGTTAGCAATTTGGTAATTCCTTGCCAGAATTAGCTACATTACATTTCTATAGTATGTACAGTATACTCAACAGGACGGCTGAATCATGTCTATTAAGTACTCAATACCACCTTTTACTACAATACATTGTTTCTACTCAGATTATGAAAACTTTAAATTACTAATACATTAGTTAAAATAGGTAATGAATAATATAATTTTGCCATCTACAATTGGTTACACTATAGCTGCATAAATATGATACTAGCCTATAACAGCAAGTAGAAATTGGGTAATGTTCCAACGCTTCAAGATATTTTCAATTATAGACTACATAAATGATCGTCAGCTGATGCATTGCTATGGAAAACTGGCCAAGAATACATTTTTCTTTCCAGTACATTAACTACAGTAAAGACGTACATGGGGGTTTGAGTGGTAAAACACACATGACTATACAGTATATTGTACTGTAAGTTGCAGTCCCAGAGCTGAGTACTGTACACTGTAGAGTATGATAAAAAGACCGTACGGTATAGTACAGTACAGGCCAATTGAAACAAAAACCACTCTAATTTTATTGGCGTTCATTGCTGTAGTCACATGGCGACGGAATATTACTCAAGTGGCGTAGCATCATACTTTGCGCCTAACGCCCTACTTGACTCAACTGATATACCGTAAAACTAGCTTAGAAGTCGGTGCTGTATAACAATATATATCACTACTATGCCAGACTCTAGTTCTACTAAGTGTAAGATCACCTGGGGAAAATTACTACTAACAATAAAAACTAGCCACTTGTACAGTACAGTACTGCAATCATTTACAAAGTGAGTTTTCCGACAATTTTCAGAAATAGAATAATTGTAAGTATTCCAAAAAAAACTCACGATGTGCAGACACGCAGGCGGTGTTCTAAAATATACCAACTTTAGGAAATGCTAAATTAATATTTTTGAAGTGGCCATGTACTGTATAACAAACACGCATCTAATACTATATATGGGTATATTACTATGTCATTTGTGTTGTACAAGTAAAACAGTAATGTCATGCTACCCTACCCTACCCTATTTCGCTTAACCATCGCAATCAGTGTCAATACAATTTTTCTATCTTACTTTTAACTAAGACAGTAAAAATTTCTCGTCCATATAGCAAACATACTGCACTACTGCAAAAAGTGTTTACTTCAAAGTTGATGAAGTGATAATTGCATTCCCCATAAACACTATCGATGTATCTCGCCTCAGGCATTAATAGTATTATACGCAAGCATATCAGACTACCGTACGTACGAAACCAGTCAGTACGTATTACTGATGTACGGTCTAAGTTAGTCTAGGCAGTATACATTAAATTTTAAACTTTTGGCAAGGTTATACATTGAACAAGCTAAAAATCGCTAAAAAGGTACAATTTCACTGCAGTACCATAATTACAGACACAATACAACTGCCACACACGTTACCTGAATAGTGTCGACATCGCGGGGTTCATCGCCGTTAACATTTTCCACATTTTTATCCTTACTAAAAAAAAAATGAGAAAATATTTAAAATAATTTAGCCATCATGTCATAAACCAAACTCAGCTTCTTCTTATACTCTACATGGTATACGCGAATACTGTATGTTTAGCTTAGTATAATAATTCCATGATGAACATGTACGGTACTGTATCCTTTTTTTCAGTATATCACACGTAATTTAATAAAAAGCTCAGCGCTAAAGGTTTTTTCTTATCAAAGGATATCACCTTCCTCCGCTACAGTACGGTATAACTGTACTCTGATAAGTTACAAATCAACTCTAGAAAGCTGCTTTACTGTAGAAGCAATTAACGTTAACCCATATTAGTCCATTTTCGGCGATAACTATCACATCAATATACAGTCATACACACAACGATAACATGCACTCGTGATAATCAAGTCAAACACTGTTATTTAGATATTCACGCAGCCAATCACCCTATTACTTTGATAACTACTGTACTTAAATATGTATTACTTCGACAAGTCGAGGTAAAAATTCTAGCTCCACGCTACGTAAGTACCGGACAATTCACTATACTGTAATTTGTGCAAGAAGTAACTGACTCAATTCTCTAGATCAGATGGTATACGAATAATATCATACAACGAATGATACAATATATCCCTTCACACTATTTTTACACAAGTCATTTTATAGAATAGCGGTTGAGATCGAATACATTATGCAAAACTGTAGTGAAGTCGTCACCACATTATTAGTGTCGTAAATCAAGCGAAATTGCATATTACGTTAATACCCAGACATTAATTAAAATCAATCAAAAGTATGGTTTATCTACATCTGTTCGAAGTCTGATCTGTAACATTCAACTACGATTAACTTCGAAAGATGCCGCCCTAGATAAACTCATACTGTAGCAGTTTAACCAGGATTCAAAATCTAATTTATGCAATCATAAAAATTTGAGCTAAACTATGTATGCGTAAAAGACGTCATGTGGAAGATCAAGCAATTAAGTAGCAATCGCCTAGATTAACCGTTATGAATCAGATTTTAAATAGAATACACTCCTTATCCGGTAGTAATCCTGGTTTAAAAAAGTCATATTTACTTTCACGTCTCTTAATATTTAATACCAGTCACACTACGACAAGTATCAGCTTCCCTATCGTCAAAAAAGGGAATATACAGTACTGATTATTTTTGTAGCCCAAGCTTGGAGTCAAAAGAATCCGATCGGCAGAAATATGGCCATTGGTATGGAGCATTATACCTACTATGTACATTCAGTCTGTGCAAGCAAATTTATATTGTACCACTGCTTGTAGTGGCATTTCGACAGTGTTCAACTTAGTGAAGTACCATGACACAGGATTGCCATGTTAGGGGCCATAGGGAAGAACCTCAATGATTTGGACTTTCCGAGTGTTAGGAAGACTTACTGTAGAGAGAGGATTGGTATGGTGACTATTACAACGCAATACTTTTATTATATGTTGTGAATAAGTGGGTGAAAAATATTGAATTATTAATCAGAAATTTGGCAAAAACAGCAAGCTAAAAGTCTGTAATTACTTTTGGACAATCTGCAGTATCTGATCAGCATGAGCAAGGCATCGTGATGATGGCCTGCCTCAACAAAGTGTCTACTTGTGGCATAGCATGCTTCCAACAGTGTGCCACATATCAGTTTTCTCTACAATATTTATAAGTTACAAGTGGCCCATGGATAAATTTTTTCAAAATTACCAAGGGTAGGATGGGTCAGAGCACGAATATCGAAGATAGAGAATGACTTTCAAATCATGCAATCGTCTATTTTACGTGCATGCTAAGACTAATGATACAACAATAGTAAGAGTATACCAGTACACTCCGTGCAAACTTCTCGCCTTTTACGACACTACACACTGAAGCTATACGTACTGTAATAGCGTAGTTAGGATCGGGGAATGGATACTATTAATGCATTGTCGTGCAATAGGTAAAACGGACAACTTTAGATAGTTTTTCGACTTTTAAACTACGGGATTTCCTCGACGTCGACTCTTGTGCAATTGCGCATTGTACGTGCATCGCACGCTCCGCAGTACTCCATATGAGCTTAGTAGGCACCGAACGCGTGATCCTGCTGCTCTACGAACTACTGTAATACCATTTGATATTCACATACTGTGTAGTCACTTGTGTGCGTTGTGTCCGTTAGCTATCCATCAAAGAAATTAATGATCGAGTACCTAATCTGTTCATATAAATTTAATAGGTGGTGTGTTGAATCACTTCTTATTAACCGAGATCCGAACAGTATCACTTCAAATTTAAGAAAAAGCGATCATACTCTTAATCGATTGAAAATTTTCACTAATGCACTAGAGATGTAAGTAACAAAAATGGAAAGGCATGATAAAAATGGTACGCAGTCTCCAATACTACCGAGTCAATGGAAGTCGTTGCAGACCAGCGGTACTTTCAGTGGTGCAACTGGCTCAATAGCATTGGAGATTGTACTAGTCGGTGGTGATAAATGGAATAAAATAGAACAAGGTAGGGGATAGGCATATTCTACAGGATATACTTTAAAGTTGATAGGGGAGAACGCAGAGTCAAGTCTGTGCTTGGACACTAGTATCGTCTTTGCTAAAGAAAGACCTTTTTGTGTCTCGCGCGAAACCCGCTGACGAATGAGAAAAAGAAAGAAAAGTCCATGTCCAACATTTTAATCGATTTATTCTACATACCATTTCCTATTTCCCAATCAATTTGACACTAGCTATCATATGTGTAACTTATAACTTACCCAGAATCCATCTTAGCAGAGATTGCTGATCATTAGTGAGTGAAAAGCGATTTCAAGAAGGCAAGAAAAAATTTTTTGCAATTCGATTGAAGCACGGATGTACAATGAATGGTTTGACTCAATCTAGTCAGTAGACTCATTACACAGTGAGGGCAAAACTTGTGCCCGCGTACAGTACACTAGCGTAACCATATCGAATGTGCATGTGCATTGTGCAAATGACCGGAAAAAAAAAGTGAACTTTGACAGTACTAAGTACTGTAGCTAGGGACTGTACTCTCCTGTCTGGTACTGTACAGGCATGTGCTCAAGTGGCTGGCTGTGCTGGCGCTAGTGGCAGTAAATTTCTGAAATGCCTAATCTGTTACGTCAATACCGAAAGCAGTATCAGTGGTAGTCGTTGCGCTATGTAAAGCCACTATAGTAATTTGTAGTTTTGTTCTACTGTACACGTGTTGTAGTATTGAAGGTTGCCACCTTAACTTTTGCCTTTTAATACTTGCCTAGTTGCCTGGTAGCACTTTGCATAGCCAATTAGCCATGTGTCTGTGGTTACCGCCACTCGTTATGAATTCCATTGCTGACTTGGAGTGTTGGAAAAGATACTGTCATTGAAATAAATCCACTGTGTCAATACAGTAACAGCACTGTACTTTTGACTGTAGTAGATAGTACAAAATTGCAAACGTACAACTTACTATGATAAAAAGATGATTTTACGCCATCATTCTGAGCATGACAAGAGACATGCAAGACCGCATGGCGACTACATTGTCACGGAACGGAACGGTACCGTGCTTTAGTAATGCAAAAAAAAGACTACTGATACGACAGTGGAATGACTATAGAACAGTACAAGAGTGAAAAAATTCTCCAAATTTTCTCTGTCGCAATTTGGTGAAAGACGCGTATAGTGCAGTACTCTACTCTACTAACTGTAAAAATCAACTAACTTCGCCTCTCTGTCGAGACTCTTTAGAACCCTGCAAAGCAAATTGCTAATAATAATAATAATGATCATGCAAGGTCTACATTAGTCTACAGACTCTCTATTGTACACTAGTTATCATCCCATCTCCCCAAATTTCAAAAACCTGCAAAAGCAAATCCCTAATAAGGCCTCTACATTAGTCTACACTGCACACTAGTTATCATCCCATCCCCCCCAAATTTCAAAAACCTGCAAAAGCAAATCCCTAATAAGGCCTCTACATTAGTCTACACTGCACACTAGTTATCATCCCATCCCCCCCAAATTTCAAAAACCTGCAAAAGCAAATCCCTAATAAGGCCTCTACATTAGTCTACACTGCACACTAGTTATCATCCCATCCCCCCCCAAATTTCAAAAACCTGCAAAAGCAAATCCCTAATAAGGTCTCTACATTAGTCTACACTGCACACTAGTTATCATCCCATCCCCCCCAAATTTCAAAAACCTGCAAAAGCAAATCCCTAATAAGGTCTCTACATTAGTCTACACTGTACTGTACACCAGTTATCATCCCATCCCCCCCCAAAAAAATTTCAAAAACCTACAAAAGCAGATCGCTAATAAGGTACGGTCTCTATATTAATTTACACTGTACCGTACACTAGTTATCATCCCATTCCCAAAATTTCAAAAACCTACTAAAGCAAATCGCTAATAATGTACGGTTTCTACATTAATATACACTGTACACCACTTATCATCCTATCCCCCAAAATTTCAAAAACTTGCAAAAGCAAATCGCTAATAAGGTACGGTCTCTACATTAGTCTACACTGTACACTAGTTATTATCCCATCCCAAAAACTTCAAAAACCTGCAAAAGTAAATCGCTAATAAGGAGGTACGGTCGACATGAGTCTACACTGTACATAATAATGTACGGTCTCTACGTTAGTCTACACTGTATTGTACACTGTGTACAGTAGCTATCATCCCATCCCTAAAACTTCAAAAACCTGCAAAAGCAAATCGCTAATGATGTACAGTACGGTCTACATTAATCTACAGTACACTGTACATACAGTACAGTAGTTATCATCCCATTCAAAGAATTTCAATAAACCCCATAATCCCAGGCAGTTTCCTGTATACTATACGGTGTATAGTGTACAGTATTTAGTTCAATTCACTAATTGCAAAAAGTGAGTGATATTTTGGTTCCACATTGCATTCGCAACGACGTATACTGTGACGTTTAATACTATAAATAAATAATAAAAGATAATAATTTATATATATGTGTTATATTATTATTAAAAATAATACTAGTAATTAATTAATTTCAGAGGAAATGCATAAGACCTAGGCCCAACAACTCTGAGGGAGCCCAAAAGCTATCATTAATTACTTATCATTGCAATAAATCAAAGTCAGGTTTAGGTTGAGAGCTTAACGATAAAAAAGGACAGGATGATAAAATAGATAGTATGTTATAATTCTTGTCCAGTTTACATTACTGTCAACACAAAACAATCTTTCTGCTCTGCATTTATAGTATCATAAACTATTACTGTAAATATTTAATAGTCAAACGGCGATTGACCGATTTACAGTAGGCAACACTACAGGTCTACAGCACAAAAACGCGCAGCCATAAAATCTCACCATTTTGCATAGCTCCATAATTTAAAAAATTTTTATTTTATAACTTCGTATACCAAGAAGATTCTTACTGTAGTTATTATTTTTCTCTTTCCAAATCATTTACTGAATCAAAACAGTTTTCTACTGATGTACGTATAATTATGAATTGTTACTGGTCTTAGGGATTTTATGATAACATAAACAAGCAAAATGATGAAAGTAATCTTTTACATGTTAGGTAATGACAACTCCTTTAAAATTCCATTGTTGTCTACAACGTACTACTACCGAGCATAAGATGACTTAATGATAAGGGCATATCAGACAATCTTATATAATATAATATTAATTAATTGAAGAATATCACATGCTGAATCTTATTATAAATACAGTACTGTGTCTACAAGAAAACCAGACGAATGGAATCGCTTACACACAACGTGCTATAAAATAAACAAGAAGGACTACCTTTGCTGTAGGATACACTAATATCATTAAATTTCTTTCTACGGCAACTAAACTGTAAATAAGTGAATTAGTAACAATGTAATTATAAGAAAGCGTCTGCTATCGAATGATAATAGAACTATTGATAAATTACAATGAAATTGAAATAATATTCTAGATCGAAATAAATTCTTTACTAGTAAGGGAATAAAGAATAACCGTTTCAACAGCCCGATCAAACCAGAAACGTTTCAAAAGTTGGGATACCTCGAGACAACCTGAAGTCATTTCGTTGCTATAACATTTATAAAATTGTAACAGATTGCAGTTGTTGTCACAGGTACAGAATAATGTCCTAACCAATATTTTTTGGTATGATACTTATATCTTGAGAATTAATTCATTTTTGCTGATTTACGGAAAGACGATCGGAAGCTGAAAAGACGAATCGAAAATCCTCTGATCAAGATATATACGAGTATACCACTTTGATTAATTTTAGTACACGCTTAAAAATTCATTATCACTATCGAGTGTTGCTTTTGCGTGATATATCAATAACAGCAAAAGATGACCCACCGAAATCCGCCAATCGATTTTCCAACATAACTGCCTTGTAATTATTCGTAGGATTGTCAGTGGGATTCTCGTCTTGATCCAAATTTGATAATCCGGGCCGGGCTTCGGCACATCTCGATGTTACATCCACGTCCGCAGTAACCGTTGTGTCATCAAATTTTAATCTCTTCGAAGATTTCATGCTACCCTTATGGACAATCTCATTAATTTCAGATAGCTTCCTTGATGACTGCAAACATGATTACGGTAAACAGTTAACACTATCAATTAAAATTGAATTTCTGTACGCAAATTTTTATTTGCGACACGGTATAATACGCTAATATACTGCAGTCTAACCAATTTGTGCTCAATAATAAGAAAGAAATATAAACGAAACACGTATACACATATACATACCTCCAGTGCATCTCCAAAGCAGTATAAAGCTTTCGATCTTGGAGTTAAAATATCTTTACGTTTTAAAGGAGAGAGATAAACATTTGATACCCACGGAATTCTAAATTAACAAATTCCGGTCACGGTGAATAAATTAATTAAAGATACTGCTTAATGACCATTGTAGAATATAACTACCTCTTGCCGACACCGTCAGAGCGTGGTGATCTACTATTGTACGTTGGGATAGGAGACAGCTGCAGTGCCTGTGAACGAATGACATATCAAGAAATTTTAATCCAAGGATGCCAGGAAATGTGCAAAAGTATGGTCAACAAAGTTATTCAATTACAATTAGCTGCAAATATACTAACAGCATTGACGGAAGACAGTTTCAGCACGAATTCCTTCATTTCACAAATAAAAATTTGATTGTAAAACGCAATAATAGTACCATATTGGTTGGAAAGTAATAACACATTTCGGCATACCTATTATTCAAGGATTAAATGATATGATGTTGTTTAAAAATTTTCAACTAAACGATAATAGTCATGAGGAAACTACATACGGAGCTCGATCTTCCAAATAAGCTTTTATAGTGATGAATAATTTCTTTGAATTGAATTTCCTTTTGCATCACCTTGCACACGGCATATGTACAGCACAACATTACCTAAAGTAAGCAATCGCGATATTTAAACAAAAGTACAGCATAGAATCACACAACCCATTGAATTTACACTAATCAGTAATAAAGTATCATCAAAACCTGATCAATGTGACGATCCATAAATAGCTTTGTTTTGTAGGTCAGAGCATAATGATAGCAAGTCCATGTTCGATTAATCTAGGATAATGTTATTACAATAGAATTTCTTGATAAGAATATAGTAAATGACTTACTGAATAACACGTATGATTACTTAAAAGAGCAGACTAACCGTTTTTTCATCAATTTTTAAGGCATCACATAAATTTTTTAGTCGCAAGTATGCAAGTTGAAACACTATAGTTTACAATAATACAACATAGTAAATGAGCATTCCAAAATACTGTAGTTATGTAACTTTGTAATACCACACAATGAACAAAAATTACTTAACCTTTTCTGTAAAATAAATCGACAGAATGTAGTTTCTTCTGAGTCTCGTCACCACAACTTTGCTTTTCGCTAGTATGAGACTTTTTAACTGGTGAAAGGCACCTATTAGAAATATATCCAATTACATTGATAAAAGTGTTAATAAAAACAAAATAGCCATATCCGTAGAAATCGATAATTATTAGATCTTTGTAATATCAATTACAGGAAAAATAATCTCCTAAATACTTACGTTTCCAGTAATGAACCCGCCACTTCGGTTTTGTTCTGCGACATGTATTCATTATGTTAAAATTCAAAAATATTTTATTAAAAATATATTCGAAAATATCATACAATAGGGCAACACCACAAATTAGTATATTCCCTACCTCGGTTACCAACTGCCTATAACGAAGATCAATTTTAGAAGATTCCAGTGCTGCATATAATGGGGAAGACTATAACAGAAAAGATCCTTTGTTTTTAATCATTGAAAGCTTACTGATAAGTAAGTACTACAACATTAATTAATAAATCCAAATAACTCACCGCTTGCCATGCCAAGCTTTCTAATATCATTGATTCAATAAAATTGAGATGCTAAAAAATGAGATCAGTATAAAATTTTACAAAATTAAAGGAATATGGGTAAAAATAGTAAATATCAAAAAGAAATTTTTTGGACGACATTTGATCTATCTTTAAGCAATCACAGCTTTTGAGTAACAACCTGTACTAAATTGTTATCCAGAGATAATTCGCTACGTATAAAACTTTCTATTACTTTACCAAAGTGATATGCCTACATATATAAAAAAGAGTATTAGATTCTAATCTGTTTTTCAAAGTAACTCTAATCTTTTCTTGAATATTAAACTACAGACCTTTATATCAAGAATATCAAGGATCCAAGGAAATGAAAATTCATAACCATACTTGTTACTATTGCTTGTATCTGTCAAATATTTATTTCTTTGCTTATTAGTGTATTACTGAATTGTAGATTATATAAATCATTGAAAACTGTCCAAATATTAGAATACGTACGTGGGCTATTATAAGTAAAAAGGACGACCTCCAATGAACAGGCCAATAACGATGAGTGAAATACGTCATGATTCAGTAGTACGCTGCGAGAATTGGCAAGATTTTAATAACAATATCAAACCTCTTAAGACGTAATCAGGCAACAAAGTGATACCCAACTCAGACTTAGAACTTACCTAAAATCGCTGTTTCCAAGCCTCCTTTGTTCCTAGAAGTCATAAATAACATCAGGTCAATATTCAGAACATATTTATATCATTCAGCGGATATCATTACAAACTTACGCCTTTGAGCATATTCTCCAAAACTCTAAAATACAGTCGTTTTGCTAAATCAAAATACTGTACAGGATAAACGTACAACGAACAAATAAAAAACATCGAACATTAGTCCTCCTATCCATATATACAAAACACAGCGTTACAGAAATGCTGTTCCGGTAGTCAAAAGTACCTTATCACTAATTGAGGAATAAGCTGAGCTTGTCTGCTTTGCGTATTTCTGTACGAAAACATCTCGATACCCTGTCAGTAATCAATTGACGATTAAACGATGAACTATTGAAACGAAAATCGTGACGCAAATGAGTCATTTACTTACGTTCTAAACGAGCAAGAATGCTATCAAATGGATTCGGACAGCATTTCTGTATAAGAAACAGTATTAGACATCATTAATTCTTAGTAGTTGCCTTACATTAACTAAATAATAGACACAACGTACCTTGAAGTAATCACAAAGTAATGATCCTGGCGTGGTACTAAGAACAAAGTCAATACGATATGTTATCACCATTTTAAGGTGTCTACAGTACTTCAAATAACGTTATTATTTAATAATATTTCTGAAGTGACTTACTCTGTAGATGTTAGGAGAGCTAACAAATTAGCAATGCTTTTCATCGTAGATCTATTATAACAATAATAAACCATTAATAGTCCCCTCTATTTCCATATATCTTTGCACATAGATGTAATAGATGTACCAAAACTTGCTCGTTAACTTACTTTACAGGTGTAGGTGGCGGATCTTTTCTATAGCTACCACGATCTTCTTTCCCGGTAGACCTGTCAAACCAGAATTTTTAATGTAAGTAATGCGATATCTTAACAGACTAGTAAAAATGTAAGAAGCGTATTACCAAGTATTGACTAATTTATCTATAAACGATGTGAAGTACATACTTTGGCTTTAACATGCTATCAAAAATTGATTCATCCAAAAATGCTCGCTCATCAAAGTCACCTTGTAAAATTATTCAATAAAATCGAATTAATCAGGATTAGAAATAATATGATAACACATTACAAGTCTAGAGATTTAAGAAGTTCAGAACCAAATTTTCGTACCATTCTTGATGAATGCAGCCTCATATTCTCTATTAAGATTATCAATCTAATTTGTAATAACATAAAAATTATATAATAGAATAATAATAATACGCATACAATTACGGATAGTACTGTAGTATTATGATTAGTAGCGGATGCTGTGATGCAATTATCCGCAGACTATATACAGTAGTTAGTATGTTACAGTATTTAAGTAAATGAATGTTGCTCTTACCTTTAAGGGATTTAGAATACTCGATCCAGTCACTTGAAATCTAGTCCAGCAGTTATTATGAAAGTCTCTAACCTGTAAAAAATCAATCAAATACATTGTAAACCGAAGTATAGCTATCATGATTTTTGTAAGGTATACGCAATAGGTAAAAATGTTTATAATATCACGCACCCCCTCATACTGCACATGTAAATCTTCGCACAACTTCCGTAAAATTTCAGAACTAACCTGTTGCCCAATATTTATGATAAAAATATTTTTAAGTTTCATAAAGTCTACTGTTTCAAAAAGTATAGCAATTTTATCATCATAAATCAAGTGACTCACGCTTTCAGTATCAGTTCCTATTAAAGTACCTAGTGGAAACAAATCAAGTAGCTGTTTAATTTGTTAACATAAATATTACAATATTCAGATATTAATGTTTAGTACTCACGATAATTTTCTTTTATAAAACTCGAAGGTACCGATTTTGCTAGATGGTTAACGCAGCAAATTAATAAGTAGTACGCAATGTATAGCTCTGGATCCTTTAGTAGAGAATCTAATACGCAAGTAAAATGATTAGGTATCATAAAATAGTTGATAAAATTCTTGTGAGCGATTCTGCCTATGTATATAAATTTGGAACAGCAGATGAAACAGACTTAAGTTATATTTACCTTTGGCAACTAAAAACAATAACCATATGTAACTTCTAGGATTATCAAGCAGATCTTTAAACTTATGAATGCTCTTATCGATATCTTTACGAAAGACTAACTCAATCAGCCTACAAGATTGACCAAAAAAGAACTTCATTTAGTACTAACATATCTAGCGAGTTCATTAATGTAAACTTTGTAGTATAATGAAGGATTATAAGGTTGGACCGATATAGTCTTACAGGTCACATTTGGCGAACAAAGCAGCATCTATTAAATACTTTCGACTCAATAAATAAATTTGCTTCTTGGCTGCATGATTCTCAACAGAAATAATTTCACCTAGTTTCTGAAGCTTATCGATAAAGTCTAATATACTATTAAAAAATGCAATAATTTACAAGATTACATGTGAGTAGTAAAGGTTGATTAAGTTGAGAGTATAAATATAAAAATTACTTTATTCTTGCAGCCATCAAATGGTTTAAAACTTTAGGAATTGGTTTAAGGATGCTAGCCTTTGATGACATTCTATCACGAGAATGCATACATTAAGATCATGTACATATCTATACAATGTATAATCCTAATATGCGAATTATTTACTTCATTCATATTACTTACCTAGCCGTATAAATAGCAATGTAGTTAATAGCACATACCCACTGCGAGATATCCTATAAAATTTATTTAGAGAACGATGAGAACTGGGTTGAAAAATGAAGACTATAAGGAAGCATAACTAGTATCAAAATATAGAAGTATGTACAAGTAACTAGTAACATTTATTTACGAACGTACATTTTTAACAATTTTGAAGGTCTCGGAAATAATCTTCCACATATTCCATCCTTCCTCTAACACAAGCGGGTCAGTGATATTAAGATTGCTATGCAAGTCCTTGAATAAATCCCGGATGGTTTGATCGGTATAACTATATATAATACGTGCACAATCAGTGATATATAAAAGTGGCTTATCTACCATTACCTATATATATATATACCACTAAGCAGCTACTTATACGGGTTATAGAGATGTCATCTAACTACCCTGCATCAAAAGCTATTAATGTTAATAAAATACCTGCTATCTTCATCATTGTTAGCGTGATTAGCACAGTGAGTAACTGCTAGTGAGGAAGCCATCATGATTCCTGAGACCTTAACATAGAAACATCAGATTTAATAAACTAAAGAAATTACGTGGTTATAAACACGAGCCTATTTGTATCGCATATCAATTTCAGTACAATATTCATTACAATAAGGGGCCACACGAATTTCAATTTGCTGTCAAATCTTCTATACACGTGAACATGACGTGATAACGATATCTTTAAAGTACATAAAACTGAAGCGATTGCGCTATTCTAATTGACCTGTAATTTATATAATAGTAAATCCACTGCCTATCTATCCATCGTATATGCTAGCTATTTTGCATTGGCAAAAGGCTTTAACCTGTAATAGCTACTTTAAGTGCAATAAATCTTCTAATCATTCTCTGCGCAACTTTTATGCATTGTAAAATACGTTATAATATTGTATTTGAAGTAAACCGTACTTCATTAACTGTCGAAGAATTCAAGAGGTCGCAACACCAATGCAGTAGTGTAGCTTAAAGTGAAATAGCTACGTATAACTTATACACATAAAAATTTAGCTTATAATCATGTACACAATATGGTAACCAATATCATCACTCAATCGGCGATAAGTATAACGATTCTTTTAACTCCACATTGATTAATAATTTATTGTACCATACACCTTGCAAATGTAAAATTAGTATAGGAATGATAGTATGTTGACCCATTATACTAATTTATAGGGTCTTACAGAAACATATTTCGGCCTAATCATAACATCCGCAAGAGCTATACTGTGGTAAGTTTCATTTAGGCTCACTAATCTTGAAGTATAGTTGGCACGTTATTAAGGACTAATAGAACCAAATCTTCTAACACAGTAATTAAATGTATAGCTTACTAAACATTCAGCTACAATATAAATAAAATTACACACCGTAATACAAATACAAGCTCATAAACATTTTCACTACAGTGCTGTCCGTTCAGTTCAGCTACGACACTGCTAAATAAGTGTAGGGTTACCTACAGTCTTTAGCAGCGCAGTTGTGTATAACTAAACGCGTCACGGCAATAAAGGGTAGCTGGCGCTCTGGTAAAGTGAGCTTTCTGCATACATAGTTTCAGCGAAGCACAGGAAAAATCTACAGTTTATTGAACATTAGAGTAATGTACGTATAGAAGACTATTACTGCTTTATTCAAGTTATTTCTGCTGCACAGACTGTATGTACGCAGCAGGTGTGCAGCAGGTGTGTACATCATAGAGATATTTAGAAAAGCCAATGGACTGAGATGAATGCACATATCAGATGATAGTAAAAAGTACACTACTGCCACAACACACGATAGTACAATGATTACTAAAGGGACAATTTAGCGCAAAAATGCGATGCAATGAGCGATAATAGAAACATGAATAGACCGAATAATATGAATCAGTGACAGATTCTTGACAGTAACAACAACAGCTGCATAAAAATGTGCTACGATTATACTGTATCAATATTGCAACATATACACTAGAAGTGATGCATAAATGTATAAGATGTATATGTATAATTCATTAGTTTGTAGTTATTATAATGTGTATTAAATGGAAGATATACTGTATAGTATCCAAGTGCTATTGCAATAATAATAATAAGGGATAATACGAGTACGATCAGATTTTCTAGGCCAGACCGAATAACATCAAGCAGTGATGATTTACGTCGTATTAATACTGTAGTAACTGCCTGAAAATGAAGGGCAATGAGATTATAACTGTATGCTCTCTCTACTATATACACGTACACTATAACTGAATATGTTTAATGACTGTAGATATAGCAGTCATTGTTCTTATTTTTTTAGGTCAACTCTAAAATTTATTATACGTAATGTATATCCATTGGTATTTGTATTCAATAATAATACTACATTACGTATACTAAAATTAACTAAGCTTCCATTCTCCAAAATTGCAGAAAATTGAATATAGTATGGTAGTGAAATTGACTGAATCAAATGAAGACTAAAGTTGAAAATAATTTTGCATTGAGCCTGAATCCTTTGTAATAATTAATGTACAGCCTTAAGTAAAAGTTGCGATTACGTCCATTTCGAGAATCAGGACAGTACTGTCCATTCTGGTACGGAAGTCTAATACAAATGTGTGTTCTGAATAGCGATAGTTCATAATTGATTATCATTTTTTGAATTCATATCAATTGGGTGAATTATACCATACTCCAGTAGCAAACGTAGCAGTGTATGTTGTATTTAGAGATATTGAAGAGATCCCATCACAACTTCTTGTTACCGTATTTCATTTATTCTTAGCGTAGAGCGTTCTTTCAACTATGTTGGAGTAAAAGAAATTTGGCTTCCACTTTGCAGAACTATTATGTACTGTACAGTATAGCGAGCTGTGGCTTTTGGCATTGCTTAACAGTTGTCCATTGAAATGGATTACAGTTGATGATGTTGTGGAGAAGGTAGCAATTTTTGGGGGAAGTTGAAAAATGATATTATTGGAGTACGCGTATGAAGAAGTGAGAGACGACCTACATTGCTGGATACATGTGTGAATTTACGCTATGACTTGAGCAAATTGTCTCTTTTACAGCTTGTAGTAAGCTGTACAATAGAGTAGAGTAAAGAGGGCATTTGTTCTTGATGATTGTGCTGAACTATCTTGCAAGTTTATGACTAGGGCATAAGCGCACATGTTTACAATAAGAATCCATTGAGCAACTAGTAGGGAGTCAGCAATATCTCGTCTAACTTTAGTAGGCGCTTGGTATGAAGAAAAAATGGCGAATAGCATATCGTGATTTCTCTTTCCATGGAGAATGAATTGCTACAAAATAACGTCAGTAGCTACCACGGTGATATCATAGTAGAGGGGAAATGGACAGTTGAATGATTGGAGTACCAGCTATCCTATAGTAAATCATTCAACGCTGCAATACACAGGGGAACAAGTGCAAACTTCCAACCTATAAATTGACTGTATCTATTGATAAGCTAACCGAGTAAAGGTCTCCAATTTACGCCTTTCAGAATTACGCGCCACACAAGGAATTAATTTCCACAGCGTCTTGATGTCAATTTGGAATTGAATTTTAGACTGTCAAAGACGACGGCAACAACTGATTTTCATTGACAACTTGCTACATGTAGAATTGCTTGTATCGTACCGACTTGACATCCAAGTCGCCGGCTACTGTGTCCTATCCACTAGCACGGTAGTCTACTACGGTCATGGGAAGAATCCGGGCCAGAACGGTACGGTACGGGACGGGACTGGAAACCATACCATCAAAAAAACGTTCCATGTCTGTCACGGTTGTGGTGGTTATTGTTAGTCTTATTGCAGTCCAGTACTGTACTGTCCTGTACCGTATACTGTACTGTACTGTATAAATAATGAATTCAATCGTCTTCTAGAATCAACCAATCAGACCTCATGACGGGTGTCGACCTCCATCATTTTCGCGGGAAACTGCTGATACTCCTTTGTACAGTACAGTACAGTACCGTACTGTACAATGTACTGTACAGTACAGTACGTACGGTACACTACAGTAGTTCTACGGTAGCACAGACAAAAAACACAACTTGAACGCCGTACAGTACAATACTGTCAAGCTCTTAACTAAAAGTATGGCGTGATCCACTTCCTTTTGCGGATTGCAACGGAGAAAATGAAGAAGATCACACAGTCAGGAAGGACAGAAAATAGCCTATCCTATACTGTAGAGTGTCATTGAAATTGAAACTGACTTTCGCTTTTTCATTGTGGCATATAGTCTCGGACTACTCCATAAATAGCGGTATTTATTGACCATGAGCAATTCATGATACTGCGATCCAGTTCGGCTATCAGCGATCAACCGCTTTCCACAAGGTGTTCAACATCTCTACTCAATACTCAATACTGTTGGTAATATTGCACTATGTGCTGTAGTGTAGAATAGAATTGGAGAAATCATCCCAACATACAGTACTCTACGGTACTATCTAAAATTAGAATAGGCTAATACAGTAGTCAAGAAAATTGGAAATTACTGGTGTAGGACAATTTAGCTTAATGACATTAAGTAGAAAGTACCTCTAAACGCCAAGTATCACGAGCGAGGCTTTCACTGCCTGTACAGTCAGGGACTACTCCATTAAAACTGTATCCCCGTGCATCAAAAATTACCACCGCTTCACTAGAAATAGGACATGAGTAACGGTGATCATTTTTATGCACAGGGGATACAATTTTGCATTAAGCATCCAGCGCCTAACTGCACTGTCGATTATCATTATCATAATTCATTACAATCTCTATAATGTAGCCTACTCAAGTGACATACTGTACAGTAAAGATGAAAGATAAGCATTTCATCTTTTTACCATCGACAACGGAACTGACTACCTCATCGCACCGATAGTAGTCTACTAGGCCAGTAACCTACTGTATCGATGCATTACACTCAGCGTTGTTCACCATTAAATGTTCAATGTTTAATGGTATCGATGGAAGCCGATAATTTGGTCAGGCTCCATATTATTTTGCCTACGAGTGGAGGTTTGCGGCGAATCGAACATGCCTTACCGATTTCCCTCCCCCTCTTCCTTTCGATTGTACAATTAAAGTGAACTTGCAGTAAGAACACTTGTTGTTACCCCTGTATGGACGATATTGAGACGTGCGCGTTCAATTTATCTTAGCGTCTTTTTGGTAAGGGTATGGTCATGACAGCTATTACCATGAAAAATAATAAGCTTTCCTCTATACGATTACAACAAAAATGTGTGGAAAATCATTGGAAAATATCCTGATATTACACTTTGAAATATCCAATGGCTTTCCACACACCCTCTACAGTACTGTATGTTGGTGCCCATGCAAGTGCTATTATTGTATGTCACTAACAGTGAAAGAGAAACGTGCGCTCATTGGCCCCATTTCTACTCAAGCAAAAAGAAGTACAGTACAGTCCGTACACCCGTACAGTACTCCACTCACTACATGACGTCATTCAAATTCGATCTAGACCTGTACTAGTACGGTACCAGAACCAGTTGGAATGTCAACAGTTTTTTGACTTTTGTTAAACGTTAGTGCCAATCAACGTTCACCAATGACTAACCTGGCAGTCCATTTCTAGAAGAAATTGATCTCTTATTTCTGTCATTTTGGGGGGGAAAGATTATTACAACTATTCTACTGGCTGCAAAGAAAGAGAGAACGATAAACTTGCTTAGACTGCACTCTTGGCCCCAACGATCCTTGATCACTACTCTGTGTACTGTAGTCAACGAATACTGCACTTAGGTTTCCAATCACAATTGACAACAGTGAATTCCGATAGCGTCAGGTTTGAATTTCGATGATTACATATTTTATATAAATTAGAATCATCAATGTGCTGCTGTTTACTTTTGCCACCATTACCTTAAGAAAGTGATAGTGAGTGTTTCAGTAATGAATAATATTGCTCTATAAAGCAAAGATGACGTTGATTGAGAGCTAGAGCTAAACATACTGCAGGTACAATATTAATTAGAAGTAGTACTCCAAAAAGGTAAACTGTTTAGATTGCATAAATTGTAATGAATCAATCAATGACGTAATTAATTGGTTCATTTTCCTTCTAGATAATTGTCAATCTACTACTGTTCAAGCCGTACATAACACATCGATAATCAAAATGTCATTTATTTTTATCTTGGACTGATATAATACAGTACTGTAATCTTAAAACCATTTACACATGAAAATTAGATTAAGATAAATAACTAATGATAATACCAAGTTTCGGTAAATCAATATGAGCACGAGATCATAGTCCATTAACATTGATCATAATCATCCACTTTTTCAACTGCTTATAGCATTTATGGCTACTACGGTCATTTTTCAATTGATGCACTATCTGATCACATTTATCTGTAATAACCCATCCTATGGCTACGTATCAAATTGACTGATCATGATAATGCAAAATACCAAGAAAAGTGCCATTGAAGAAAGAAATGCCACATACTGTAGTATTTTTTGCAATGACATCGTAAAAATTAGCAATGAAAGTAAATTCTCACTGCAACTGCTATCGATCACTACCATACCAAAAATAATGTTACATTGCAATCGCTTCATGTAATAACCGTTAATGGCAATATCTTTACCCATCGCTGGTATTTATTATACGAGAAGTTTATTTTGATGTTAATGTTTACTATTCTATTCTTTTTTTATATGACATGTAGGAATCCCAGATGGCTCGCAACAATAACTATGATATTCTTAATTCCACTAACACCACGGATTCGAATACTTATAATGACGAAATAACAAATTTATTGCAAAATCATGAAGGCACTGTGTCTGTAGCCCCTATTACACAGTCCCATTGGGTTCCAAATCAGATGAGAGATTACTGTGCCAACTTAAATTGTAAGAAGAAATTTACTATAATTGAAAGACGGCACCACTGCAGAATGTAAGCTACCTCATCACTTACTTGATTAAGCATTCCTTTGAACGTGAAAGTACTCTCTTGAGCTATATTAAAATTAAAGAAATTTTAAATAATGTGCAGTAGTTTTCACCGTTTACATGATAGATATGACTCTAGATATTGTGTAATAATTGTAATGCACACACACACGATGGTATGCTTTATATTTCAGGTTGAACTGCAGTATTAAGAATAAACAAATACAATTGAATTATATAATTTACAAACTTAGAGCTGTTAAATCACTACAAATAATCATGCCAGGTCTACTACAAGAATAATTAATAAACATCGATAATAAATACCAGATACATTTGATTAATGTAGCAAAGCAAGCCTAAACAAACTCAAACGCTCCTTTCAATTGAACGGGTTGTCTAGTATTTGTAATGGTTGTACTACTGCTTCAAAATGCGATTACTTTCATAGCAAAACAAAAAATTTCATATACTGTATTTTTTAATGTTGTGTATATAATTTTTATTTAGCGGTATGCATGTACAGTATGCCGTGTTCAAATTATATCTATGTTCTTACTGCATTTGAACTATATTCCTTAAGGATTTAATTGTTAATTTTAGTATAAATTTACAAATTGTTAATCAGTTCGTCTTGATGCAGATGTGGAGAAATATTCTGTGGCAGTTGTAGCAACTATAAGAGAAGATTATCACCTACAGCAAATTATCATGTTAATGGGCAATTATACAGGGTAGGTTAGATCATCCTTGTTTCAACTCGTTGACGTTTTGAAGTAATAGTTATATAGTCACCTTGATGGACTAAATTAGCTTTAAAATCTTTTATTAGCAAATTTCATGGCTTGATCCTGTAGGATTATAAAAATTTTTTCATCCTGCACGATGTTAATGTCACTTTAAGAACAGATTAATAACACTCAAGTAACTCTTTCTAGGTCTGTTTACACTGTTATCAGCCTGAAGCTCAGGCAATGGGAACCATGACAAATTTAATGCAAGATTATACCCGTTTTCAACGTCAAATGAGGGATGAAAGAGTATTAATTAGAAGTGGAAGCGTAACAAGATCGGAGGTTGACGGAAAATTGAATAAATCTCCATCAGTTGCGGCTTTACTGCATGCAGAAATAACTCGTTTAATAGATGGATTTAGAGGAATGATCTCTTCTTCATCATTGGTTACTTCTGCTAAGCTCTTTTTAAACAGCTTTAACGGCATACCTGAATGGCAAAAATCAAATAACTGGATGGTAAGATTGACACAGTATTTCTACTAATCTACTATATCCTTGGATATTTAAAAAATCAGCCATTTCAAATATAAGGAAGATAATATCTGTAAATATTTAGGTATGTACATAACAATCGTATACAGTACTAATCTAAGCGGATTCTGACAGCCAATTACAGCTTCTAAGCATTGCTGCGGATGTGCCAAAGAATTTTCTTTTATTCGAAAAAATAGGCATTGTCGGTATGATAACCTATAAGTAAAAATCAATATATAAATTCTTAACATAATGTAGTAGTAATGGCCGTTGATCCAGATCGACTAAAACTGTAATATAAGCAAACACTAGAGCCAAGAATAATATCGGTTAATATCAAGGATATTAATTTATTTGTATGTTGTGTTCTATCGCTGTTACATTTGAAAAAATATAGCGTTTGTGGAGCTTTAATTTGTGCTGAATGTTCTTCCGAAGATTTACTGCTTTATGTCCCAAACGAAAGCTCTGACAAATATAATGTCAAATGGAGCATTATTAATGACTTTGGGGTATGTAATTGTGAGTAATACTAATTTCAACTAAGATTACAACTGATACCTAAGCGTACCTTTGCCTCGTATAATTTCTTGTCAATAGTGTCCTTCATCGGAACCTACAATTTGTATATATCTCAGAGTGTGTACAGAATGTCAGAGTGCACTTTCAAATCTACTAGTTCATCAAGCCGAATGCAACGAGAAACAAGTACAAGTTAAAGTAAAAGAAACTGATGCGGTAAGAGTTATGAGTGACAGAAAGACTTAAAAGTCGTGCTTTAAAGCTTGATTCTCGAAAGGTTAATTTATGACTATGACTTTAGCGTACTATGATATTATCTGACTATTTATAGGAAAAATTTTTTAAAGAAATTTCAGCAATTCACAACAAGCTAGCTAGTATTAAAGCCAAAGTGCAAGAGTCTCTTCCTAAAGTAAGTACATTTAAAATATCGACGAGTCTTATGATCGATTGTTTTTGATTTTATAACTGTATGGTCGGATGCAGTTTGTGCAAAATGAAAATTAATTGTGTTTCATTTAAGACAAAAATGTATCTAATTCTTTTAGTATCAGAAATCGATTGAGTCAATGGGAATTGACTCCGGTAGCCCAAAATCTTCTCCAAACATTCAAAATAACATCCAGGCCCTTGCAAAACTGCAGGTAATTGAATTTGATCGATTGAGAACCTATAATAATACAATCTTGTACAAATTTTCTTACATTATCACTGGAATACAATTTGCAAAGTATTAAAACATCTTTCCCAAATTGTTTATCTTTTCAGATAGATATCTCGGATGAATTAAGCAGTTTCATTCTTTCTCTACAGCCTTTAAAGAATATAAAGTCGCAAAATAGTACACAGAATAAATTACTAGAATGTGTAAAGATGGTAATTGCACATAGTTTGCAAGTTATTGAAATTGTATTGCACGCGTATTAATTATCTAAGATTTCTAATGACAAGATGACACCATATTCATTCATAAATAATCTCTTAGGGCAGTATTAAATTCTACTACGACAATATCACCGTTTTTCGCACTATGAAAATCCGCTTAGAGAACGCGGTTCCTCCAGAAGTACTAACTGAGATTCAAAGCGAAGTTAATAAAAATGTAAGCCATCCTGCATTAAACTTTTAATTGATAGATCTTATGATTGAGTAGAGATATACAGTACAAAGTCGCGTCCAATTTCGCCAATTTTGCTATCTAATAGCATTTATTGGGATTCTTTGTTGCTAGGCAATCAATGGTACTTACATATACGTAAAGCAATTGATAATGGAATACCTAATACTTAGCCAATTGCATCACTTCCAAAATGAACTAGCGGACGTGATTTTACCATGTGAAAAGGTATATAAATATAAATAGTAATACTTTTGACGAAATTCGTTATATTTGCACCCACATAGACTACTGATTGCATATGAAAGTTTACGTATTAAATAAAGATGGATTACCTAATTGTACTTTAAACTAAATTGTAACGATATGTTCTTAATTATTGATATACTGAATAAATTACTTTTACATCCCGAATCTTTTACTATTATTGTAGGTATCCTTTATTGAATTACAAAAATGCATTACAGCAAGAAACGAAGACTTTTCCAAGCATATTAATACTATAGATACTTTCCTTAAATATCAACTGGAGGTATTTATAACTGGCATTTATAGGAACGTTAGTTTATTGTTGTATGTAGATTTACAACCTTCTTTATTGTTTACTTATCAGCAAAACCGTCTGGTAAAGCCATCTAAACGACTAACTTCTCAATGTGGATCATCATACGTTTATGAATTTTTTATTCAAAGAAGTGAAGTACTTGTAATGCAAATCTACCGCCAGCTATGCGCTAGAAGTACTTCGTCTAAATTCCTTGGCAGTAAAAAAGCTTTATCAGAACTCAATGCAAAAATAGCCCAAATGCGTAAAGCAATGTCTATTGATTTCTAAAACTTCAATGTTTACATTGCATTTGGGTATAATGCTAGTATATTCTTTTCGTAGCTGATTACAGGAGAGAATCATTTTACTATACATACCACTTAATGCTGTACATTTGTACATAATTGTATGATGCTTTGCTTGTCGTATGCAGTATAATATTGTTTTACAATTACATGCCTATGCTTTAGCTACAAACAAGCTTTTTTACATTACTAGATATATGGTACAATAAGTATCTTGAATATGGCAATGCAACCGTGCGCTTTCCTTGCACCATGTTGCTAATGTTATAAATCCTTTTTACTACTAACTTAGAACTATTATCATCAATGGTATATTTTATATACTACGACATTTTTACTGTATAATCTTGTATGTGGAATAAATTGTGAAAATACTATAATTTAATCTAATTTCATAGGTTTTGAATCTGAAATTGTATATGCAAAACTAAAAAATCGAAAACTATAATTATTAGAGGTTCTGTATATGTATACAGTATATTGTATATCTGTAAAGGTAATAGTAATGCTTATAACACTCCTTGCTGAAGATTACTTCGACAATGTATTTACTAATACGGTAAACAAATAATTAAATGAATCATTAGTATCTCAAAAAAGTTGAATAACTTTAGATAGTCAGTTTCATAGTCAGCTTTAATTCATGATCAATACCTAATGTTTAATCCGTAACTTAACTCTTGTAATCCAATTATCCGTAAAATAGTATTTACACGCTATCGTTATGTTATCAGTACACGTATTACTATATCTGTGAATTATCAGTTCATTTATCCTACTGGGTAAATACCCCCCCCTAAACGGTTCATCTGTTAGGATAGGAATAAATCCATTCTATTTAGCTCAACCATCGTATGATATTTCCGATATTCAATAAATTCCTGCATCTAAACTGAATACAACATTACAATTTCATACTGTATACAGTAGGTCTGAAGTGCAATAAGATTTCAATTGAGATATCGTAGATTGCAAAATAAAATTACTATGCAGAACCTTTCGTAAAATTTGTCATATGGGAGTACTACTACTTGATATATGAAAGCGAGCTACTATTCTTACTAGTTAGTAGGACTTATGACTATGCAGATACTTGGTTGGCTAGTTGATGCCCATTGGACATGCGCGATGGAAATTTCCCTTGATTGGTGTACTCCGTTACCTAGCAACCATTTAACGAAATCACTCTATTCATTTTACGGTATTTATATTATAATTAGAAATTATGTTTTGCATCCACTATCGCCTCGAAGAGTACTGTATAGGAAATAGACATAATATTGAATCACACAAAAGCTTGAGGGCTTGTAATCATTTCTGATCCTGTATCACTTCGTGGAAAGCTTGAAGTACCTTATGCATTACTAGTTGCTACACGGCAGCTTTTCTCTAGTTCGTAAGATAGAATAAGAATTTTAGTTAACTTTAATCCACTGGTAAATAATTGTTTGCTATATCCCCTCATAGAACAATCAAACGTTATAGCATATAATTGCGTTACGGATATAAATTCCTTTTCCCTGCATGCTAATCAGCATTGGCAGTTGATTTAGGCACTACGGTGAAATTTCTACACTTTTCTACTAAATAGTCTATTCTAGCAAACGAATTATATATATAATAGATACAAACAAGATGAGCGTTGTAAGTTTATCTTCCTCCAAACGTAAATTAAGTACGGCCAAGCACATAGAATATCGCAGTGGTGCAATTTATAGCGGCGATGTTGAAGGACCTCATCGAAGCGGTAAAGGTTTATTTCGGTGGCCGAATGGCGATGCTTATGAAGGTGATTATGTCGATAATAAACGCCATGGATATGGAATTGAAACTTGGAGTGATGGCACAAAATATGAAGGTGAACTAGAAAATGATATGAGACACGGCCATGGCCATCATTCTTGGCCTAATGGGGAGGTAAGAATGACAACACCGATAATTTACTGTACTACTATATGTCTTATAAAAATGATGATTCAATTAGTGTATATAGAATAAATGTCACATAAACTAAGCAACATCTAAAATTGTTGATACCCTATATTTACTTGCTACCAGAGTTACGTAGGCCAATTCATAAATGATAAACGATGCGGTAAAGGCAAATATGTTTGGAGTTCAGGTGCATACTTTGAAGGTGATTTTGTTGATGACAGGAAAGAAGGCTATGGCGTGTTTATTTTCCCGAATGGTGATCAATTCAAAGTACGAGAAATTGCTTCATTAATGCTTATTCATCAGGCATGCGATTAAATACTTAAAATGTTCGTATTGTAGGGTATCTATATCGCTGATCAGAGGAATGGTCCTGGAATCTTTACATATAAAGATTCAGGGAAAGAAGACATTGGAATTTGGAAAGAGGAGCATTTAGCCCAATTTTGCTTTGAAATTGAGGACGCTTTTACAATTAATCATGGACGAAATGATTATGTATCAGCGAGTAATGTTCGATCTAGCTGGCAATCACAACTGACAACGGTGGTTAAAGAAGAAATAATGACCGAATCTACGAATAGTCAGAATGATAAGGTAAATTTTACCTATTTTTATATAATATCTTACTATACGATTATGAGCACGTGGCCGATAGAATATGAGAGGTCTCAATCTAATCATATTAACTATTTTGTTATCGTCGTATTCACATGTAGACACTCCATGATGGTACTGTGTATACCAGTATTGATGATAATCTTAGTAAAGATCTGCAAATACTGCATCTTAGTGGACAAAAACAACTGACGCCTTGGCAGCAATTTATTCATCAGCGCCCTGTATTACAAGCTATAGTGGAAGGGAAACGCCAATCGACAAGTATCCGTGGGCCATTGGAACTAATGTCAGAAGAGTTAATACGTCAAGCCGCAGTGGGAAATTTACCATTGGTATATAAATTAGTTACGTCTGATCGATGTAATATCGATGTTAGCGACGTAAATGGATATACAGCTTTAATGGCAGCAACGGTAATTTATTAATCCTCTCACTTTCGCTATAAATCAGTAAAATCATCGAATGATTATTATACACGTCAATAATAATATGATGCTAATGCTTTCATACTTTAATGGCTGAGTATTTTTTAATCAATAAATTTTTTCTCCTAGTTGTAAATTAACAAACAGTTGTATATGATTAGCATCATCACATGATATAAGTAGGGAAGGATAATTAACTTTACTGATTTTACTTTTAGCTTGGATGCCATAGCGATGTCATGAATTGTTTATTGGATAATGGTGCCAATATTAACAAAATTAACCACGAAGGTGTTTCGCCATTAGCTGCTTGTACAGTATTATACTATCCTATTCGCACGTTTAAGAAGAATATAGCAGAATTAACCGCTGCTACGAATAAGAAATCCAAAAGATATAGACAAGATACTCAGTTACTACGTAATGATTCAAGACCCTTTATCCAGCCCATTAATAACGAGGTGCAACCGGCTAGTGGCGTAATTATGGATAATAAATCACAAAATAAACTGACTATAAGTTATAATAGTAAAATGAGCGAACAGGAAGGTATTTCTATGTTTCAAAACCTAGATCATCGTTTATCGAGTGATATAAGAAAGCTACCTATTGATGTAAATCATTCTATTCAAAACGGCGAAATCATCCCTGAAACAACAGTGAGTGAAAACATGGTTAGTTATTATAGTTTGGTTAAGAATCCAACACCGCAGCCACATCATGAAGAAGTTAACACTGGTCGAAAAGGAGCAGGAAAACGGCAGAAAAATCAAAACAAAGAACCAAAATTAACATTGGATAAAATTGAGTATGTAGAGATTTATAAGTAGGAAAATCATTTTTGATTAAAATGCAGTATCTGCTAATGGTGAATGAACTACTCGTATATATACAGTGCCTAAAGGGTTGAGATATTTTACAGTATGAGTATTTAGACCTTCAAGTCAATCGAGTTCTGTTAGTAATATTAAAGTAGATAGCTACTTCATCATCTTTCGAACAAAGTACGTTGCCACAGAAGATATAAATCCCTTTTAATAGTGCAGTATTTGAAGGGTCTTGATAAGTAAGTTAACTTGGAATAGTGGCTATGGACAGGGGCTTTCACGAGAATTTCTCTTAGAAGTCCATGCTACGGAGTAAACGGCTACAGTATTATCTTTCGACTTAAGTCTATAGCAAGAAAGAGTGGATACTATAACTTTGCGAGTCTTGATGAGTATATTGAACTGCATTATTAATCAGAGAGTAGACGACTATATGATCACTTTTTGATTGATTGCTTGATAGGAGCATATTGCCTAAGAGAGAATTGTTATTTCCTAAAATTTTAAGAGTCACAATAAATATATATATATTGACTATCATAAGTAGTCATAGAGCAAGCGATTACAATATCATCTTTTATAGTAATTAAATTTAATAGCAAGAAAGAATGATCAATTGGAACAATGATCATTCTTGACTACTACACATGACAAGGAGGAATGAATTATTTCTAATAATCTTTAATTAAATAATCATGATGAAATTTTGTTGGTAATTTCACTGATCACAACATTGATGTCTATCATTTCTTGATTAATGTTGATAGCAAGAAAGAACGAGTAATTAATTCCTTACCATTACTGTTATTGAAATAGTCATGACGCACTACAAGATATGCTGCTACTCCTTCTCAAACGCGGAGCAAATCCAAATACTTCCAGTGTGCCTTATCCTCCAATCTTTTTTTCTGTCAAAGCCGCTGATGTCAATTCTGTTAAAATGTTACTCCAATGCAGTGCAAATACATCAGTGAAGATGGCTACCGAAGTAAGTATAGCAACATCAAAGTTATGGAAATGGAGCTATGTAATTATGACTTATTGGATAGTTCTATTTCAAAATCGTTAATAGTCCATTGCTGAGGAATATTCTTTTAGTATAAAGATACGCGTAAATAGAAAAGAGTGTCGTCTTTTATTCCTATGGATAGAATTAAATTGATATAAAAAGTTCTAACATTAACGCCGTGATTTTTTTTCCTTCCGTTATTGCTGTATTCAACAGTTGGGCGGTTTAACGCCATTACATATTGCTGTAGCCTTACCAGGTGAAGATGGAATCAATATTTCAGAAATGCTGCTACAAGCTGGTGCTCCAACCAATACTCGGGCATCCTGCATGAACGGTGTTAAACTTGCTAACGCTTATATCCAATTGAGTAAATTAAAAGATGATATCAAAATGGCAGATATATCCCATCACAATCAGCCTTCACATGATCAAGAAGGCAGCCATCATGTTGTCCGTCATCGTCAAAGTCTTAATCATCTTAATTTTACTCATCGACATTTAACCGAGACGATAACAAATCTTACTACAGCTTGCAACGGTGGCTTGACTAAAGATGGATCTAGTTTGTGTTGTAAAGCTTGCGATAATAACTTTCGAGAAGGCGGAAGAACTGCTCTACATATCACTTGTTCACGCCAAGATAACTTCGAGGTTAGTTACACCTATAGCTTTCCTATATCACATCTTCCTACTTTTATTCCTATTTTAGGATTACAAAATTGCCATCTATTATATTAGCTACAAACATGGAATGCAGTTTTAAAATAACAAAATATTATTAACACTATAATGGACGACGTAGAATCTCTTACACATTTCTTTTTTCCATAAGTAAAAATAATAGTAGTAAAAAGAGTGTCATTTTAATGAAAGCGCAATGTGAAAATTGTAAATAATCTTTACTACTATAGTATCTAATTAACATATCCAGAATAATCTTACTTTCTCCTGCAGTAGCTAAAATAGAATATCAATAAGTGTAACGTCATTTCCCAAATAAAATAGAAATCATAAATTCCACATTACAATTGACTTTAGATGTGCACGAGCGAGACACATTACCTGAAATTCTATTTTCCTTTTGAAATAGTTGAATAATAGATTGAGCATAACATCGTTTCTAAAAAAATGGATAACCGGCACGATCCATAACATACATCTATTAGTAATACGTATATTACCATGGATTGAACCTTACTTTCTACTACGATAATTGTAAAATTTAAAATAATATCGAGGACTATCATATCATTTCTAAAAACAATAAATCTTGTGTATAATTTGATCCTCCTCTAGAAAGCAAACCAAATCGTCCAAATGCTGATCAGTAATAGAGCAGATTGCCATCTGTTGTGCAATGGACATTCACCTTTATCCTTAGCCATCATTCATGGAAATGATCTGGTAAGATATCTTTTAGCCTATCCTTCTCTTCTAAACTAATATCATTTTATCTTGAATCAAGTATAGAAATGACACATCTTAACGACTTTCAAGATAGTATTGAAAGCATAACTACCCCATTTCAAATTATGGCAGTAGCCTTCAATATTTATTCTATGTCGTTACATTCCATTTAAATAAGATATCTAGCCAATAAAACATAAGTGAACTGACTTTACTATTAATAGGCGGTCGATACACTCTTGAAGAATAATGTCGATCCCAATCAGCCGTTAGGATTTGGCGTTGGATCTGCTTTAGCGGCTGCATCAACATTAGAAGCAGAACGCTTTCGTACCTTAGATGATCGAATTCGCTTAATTAATAAGTTAATTAAAGCTGGCGCAGATATTCTTCAACCTATTGTTGTAACCAAGAAATTACCGCCAGGCACTGCCGTTGATTATGCCTTTCATGCATTTCATCAGGTTAGCAATTTACGATTATTATAGCTATCCATGTGATTTAAGCTCGTGCCAGACATGATTAGTCAATAGACATAAAAAATTGGCATTTATGGGATTAATATGGAATAGACAATAAGCTTTCAATAGAATATATCATAATATCCGGCTATCATTTGATTATTCCAACTATAAAACTGATAGGATAAAAAAATTGCTCATACACCGTATCATGCTTTAACTCCTAATGAACGAGAATGCTATAATGCCAGACGTCGTATCCTTGCCCATTATAGCGATGCTTTACGAGAGAGAGTGACCAAAGACAAGAATGCTGCAGAGGCATGGCGTCCAGAAACTACACGTTAGTTCTAGTATATAGTAAATTACGTAGATTTAACTATTGATGTTAAAGAGCAGAATTTTGACAGCAGTAATAATATAATAGAGAGGACATTACTTGAAGTGATTTAGGATTAATAGTTAAAATGAAAATTGTTACTAGGATATAACTCTAATCAACAGGATCTTGATTAAAAAATGTTAACAACAATGATGTATTAGTGTTCGTTGAAGCTGTACCAGTCTTAAACATCCATAGGCAATAAGCCTTGAAGTGTTAGTGGTGTAAAGTCATTATCCCCTTAATTTTATTAGAAACGGTCGGTTCTTTGGGTATTAAAACATCTACCGTTGGTGGTGAGGGGGAAATTGCCGAAAATACTAAAAATTCAAGCAGAGGATCCCGCCGCTTAACACCTGGTAAGTGGAAGATGTAACTGTTCATTTTCTGTCTATTTAATGTAAATGGGAGAATGAATATTTCGGTTGATCCACAAGGATATTGTCTACTTCATTACTGTATATTGAAGAGATTTTTTCTGTCTTATCTGATCTACTGTTGTTATTAATGCCCTTTGATATGTTTTAAATCATCAAGGTCGACATCGATTCGTTGCTAAACCATCATTTTGCTATTGCTATGAGTGTGGACGATCGATTGGTGTAAGGCTTACAGCGTGTTCAAGATGCCTCAAAGTTTACTACTGTAGTAAGCAGTGCAAACTTCGGGCTTGGAATGCTCGTCACAAAGATGAATGTTATAAAATCGATTCAGGTTAATATTTAACATTTATAAGATTTTTAGGTATAACACTAAATTAGAGAAAGTGTAGAAGGAAGTAGTTCATTGTCATTGAATAAAATCCTCAAAGACCTAATAGCCTACGGCATATCATAGTGAATTAAATAAAATGTATATCTTTTGCATTTTATTGTTACAGCTACAGGAAGGCCTATCCAAAGTGCTGCAAGTAAACAGCCTAGTGAAGGGCCTTCAAAAGAGAAAAAGAAAGGTACAGCTCTTTTGAAGCTTCAAAAGAAGCCAGATGGAAAGAGATCTTCTACTAAGGGCAGTAGTATCCGAGTTGGCCAGGACTCTAAATTATCTACATCGATAGGTCGCAAGCCCACCTCGGCGGCCAATAGTAAAGTCTCTATTAGCAAAAGTACCTCGTCTAGTATCAAGAAGTAGATTTAGAGGTATAAAAATTGAATGCGATAGGCATGAGTGATGATATTATTCCTGGACATTCTAAAAGCAAATAACACTAATTAATTTAGGCATAAATAATTATATTAGCTCACAAATACTTAAGGGAAGAAACTATTTTTCTATTTTGTTAATATCTGTCCGTATAGTGTATTTACACAACTCCAAACAACTCATTCCTAACTCTGGATAAGATTGTATAAAAGTTGATACATTGGCAAATTTTGTATTATACTTTGTGAGACAAATAATACAGTAATTGATGAATTAATTGTCATTCCCTCAAGGAGAAATTGGCCAATTTATTATTTATTAATAACGAAGTTATCATAGCTACATACAACTGATGTACTGCTACACTGTAAATAACTTTCTATTGATGACCGGATAAAATGAATTTCTTATTTTTCAATGAAGTATTAATTTAAAATACGTAATATTGCTATTTTCAAGCACATCTACATTTCCTAATCTAATGACTATTTCTATTAAGACTTGACAGAATAGATCAAGTTTTCGAAACAAATTGCGTATCACTTGAACCATCCTTTGAAGTAATTAAAATAAATTTAAAAGCTATGCTTTGTATAAATACGTATAAAATATCTTATAATTGGATCTAGAGGCCATTTATTGTCGTTAACAAATTAGAGTTAGGGCTTTACAAAAGGTTTCCTTCATCAATATCGGACCTTGTTGTATAAGGTCTCATATTTTTTTTAATAAGTCGAAGTGATTGAGTTACATTAGATCTCACCGTATAGGTTATGTTGCAGTATACATTAGTAACTGTTCTGTGCTTCCGTTTAATAACGGCCGAAATAGGCATGAAGTTAACTCAATAGAGTTATACTTGATGTAAAGCCCGACTAGGCTGTACTTTGTTTTAATGATGATGGTATGAAGTTGTTGCAGAATTACTTTCTTTCTCTTCTATGAGTAGCAGTCTAATCTATGCTTCATTGGCTAATCCCTTCGCATTGAATGAATACATTAGGCGTCATTTTAACCATGATTATTCTGGGATATAACAATTTGATGCTTACATCTCTTTTTGAAACGTTGTTCAAGTTAATAAATCACTCTTACACTAATTAATTATTTACAGTTAGCAAAAGCTAGCTCTCTTACACGCAGTAGAAGTCAAGATCGATGATAATAATATCCACATTAAGCTTAAAGATGCACGCCGGTAATTAAGTTTCTTTAAAATTTAAATTAAATTTTTAGTATCAATTTAAAAACTATAGTCTAACCTTTTACCAAATGCAACCTCGCATATTAAGACGCGTCTTTCTGCAAGCCTAACGGTAACTT